GCTTTATATAGTGAAGCTAGGACTCTACGTTGCCTTCTGATCTTAAAAGCTACATCTTCATAAACTGATGCAACTTTCCAGAATTACTGTCAGTAGTAAGAAGTCTGCTTGTCAGAAAAATGAACACCAGTACATAAAGAAACAAATAAGATATTTCTAATTAAGTTTGGACACCATTAGTCAAATATTTGCCAGAACTTTATCCATTTCACTCAGTAACATAGGAAACTGAGTGAACAAGGGAAAAATAGTTGTTATAAGGAGCCAAGGAGGCAGAAAAATAATGAAAATGCAGACTCTCTCACCCAACAAATGTGGAAACTGATGGGACAGCAGTAAATGAAAGAAACAAGTCCTAAACTTAAAGTCTGGAAAGGACTGAAAATGTAGACCCTAAAATATGACTCAACAGTCACAGCACTCTCAAGGGGAAAAACGGCATGCCTGAACAAGATAGCATAAACCACCATCAAGACCACAGTTCAGAAACTAACACAAGATGAGTAATAAAAGACTTTGAAATGCAAGACCATCTCTCAAGAAGTATATACAGCAAGACTACATTGACAAATATATTTGCTAACAGATATTTAGTCTACTGTTTGCACCAAACTCCTCAGAGCATCTAGAATAACTGTAAAAAGTCACAGCACAAAAATCCATTCCTCCTCCCACGAAGGGTAAGTAACTGCCTAATGAAAGAAAAAGACTTCAGAGGAACTGTGTACTAGTCATGGGCAGCCAAGTTTACATCTACCATTGAGAGCTCTAACGAAAAGAGCTGGAATAGGTAGGCTAATCCTGCCTATTTCACTGTAAAAGAAAACAACTAGAATCTCCTTAACAAAAACAAAGTCAAGAGACATTTGATAGGTGCCACACAGGCGAGCATGGGACTCAGGATGGTGCAGCCCATAGAAGAGGGTTTTTGCTCTGGGGTGCTCCCCAAGACTTGAGGAACCCCAGGTGCACCACAGCCAGTCACCACACTGTGAGGTTGCTGTAGCCCTCCAAAGACCCAAAGAGTGCTGAGCAAACACAATCAGCAAAGGAGAAGGGACACTGCAGACTCGCACCGTAAGCATCTAGGTACTATGAAATTTTGCACTGGCTTATCTGTTGAACACCCATACTGATACCCGTTGATATGCGTACTGCTATCTGTTGAACATCCGTACTGTTCTTTGCTGGTATGCGTACTGTTATCGATTGAGGCCATCTGTTCTACTGTGTAACTGTGGTCCAGCATTGTTCAATTGGATAATGAATTAAGCCTGGGAAGGATAAAAGAAAGCAAGCCACATACCTCAGTGTGGACTCAGACTCACTGTCAGCTCGCCTGCGGACCCAATAACCCACCTATCATCAGGGATGCTCCTGATGTCAACTGTCAGAACCCAAACCACCTTGGCGCAACTTGAGTGTGGTGAGAACAGTCCGAGGAAAGTTAGACCGGAGGGGTGGCGCATAAGGACAAGGAAAGGGCGAGGACGGTCACCGTATGGTGCATCCAAGAATGGTCATTGTACCGTGCATCCGAGGCTTAACCATAGAACTCGGATATGTGTATTCTATTTTTACTTTTGTAGATTATTTAGCGTTAACGGTTTAGTGTTGTCCAGTGTCCGTCATATGCGTAGAACTGCTTAACTCTAATAAATTCTTATACTTGACAAACGGTGCTCTCAAGTTTTGTGCAACTAACCCCGGAATCTGAAAGAATCCCTGACGTGCCTCTAGTGGCACATCACAACATCATGTTGAACCACCAGGTATTTTCTTGACGTAAGCGCAACAAACCGTATGCTCTGATGTTTTACTAAACTGCATACAAACTTAGCTGGAACAACCAATTTAAAAATTAGTTTCCAGGATAGTATGCATTTTGTCCTGCAACACGATGAGTCTTTCCCAACCCCTAAGGCAGTCACAGATGTGTGACACCTTATGAAAACAAGCTTAAGTAGAGATCTCTAGAAAAATAACGTTCTCTAAGTTAATAGACAATGTTAGCTTTAGAAAAGTCAGTTAAGAGCATTAAACAATATCAAAGCAGCCTTAATACTAAGAGGGCTTATAAAAGCTGGGAAAAAAATAAATAAATCAATCTGCTCAGGATGTCCTGCTTCATGCAGAACAGCACTAGACAAACATCTAAACAACCATCATAGACAGCTAAAACTTAATTTGAATACACGATGCAACGCCTTTTCCTCGCTCTCAGCTTAGTGTCAGATAGCTGTGCTGGGACCGAAGAGAAGACCCTCCACAAATATCTTGCTTATGGCTCCAGAGGAAAGCAAACTTGACTAGACAGACAGCTTGCTAAAGGAATACTGTAATTCAAATAGACAAATTACGTATCTTAGAAGTGTGGCCTTTTCCAACTATTTCCTTTTCCAGTAAGCTGTCTACTGTCCTTTCTTCAAAATTTTCCTCTAAAAAAGCTCCTCTTTCAATAGCTTTTCTCATGTTAGTTTTAATAAGGATCATCTTTTTTGGCAGGCAATTTACTTCACCAGATGCCATCTATGGAAACAATAGTGGAGCCAACTGGTAACTGTACTACTTATAACAGCTATTAATCTTTCCAAAAATCACAGTGAAAGGTCTCAAACATCATGTAACCTAAGGATCACCTTTTCCTGATTAAGATGAGACACTCAACTGTCCTAAGTAGTAGGCTTTGATACATACAAACATATATCAAGTGGTCATAACATTTGGCTGACAGCACCATATTTTTAGTGTATTACTATTATAGCAACTCCACAAAGAACAGCTACTGGCACAAATAACAGAAACAGGCTTTTGCTCTTCGTTTATTATAAAGGCAGGGAGCACAGCACTGATACACCTCTCCTTCGTTTTCTCCAGTCTCTCAAATACACACATACACATCCTCCACATAAGCTACAATTATTATTAAATGTCCTTAAGAAAACTGTACATCTCCACACATTTACACAGTTTAACATAAACACTTAAGTTCGTTATATGTAATAATTACATCTTATTACAACTAATTTAGATTACACTAGATTTACACTTCGGAAATTAGGTATCAAGTGACAGATACCACTGACAGACTTTCATAACCTGCTTCAATAAAAGAACCTTGTTCCCTGGTCAAGCTATACAGCTATTCCACATCCACACTGATCATGACTAGTCCCTTGTCAGGCAGTATGATTGCATTAAACACTACATAGCATTTAGATCAACTCGTAACTCATTTCTACTCCTCCCTGTGCCTTCAAGCTGCTTGGTTCCTCCTCAGGCCTCTATGCACACCTTTCATGCTGTGCCTTAACAGAGGCTGTCCTGAGCAGCGCTACCTACTCAGCATCAAGAGATACCTACAGCATCCTCACAGGCAGCTAGGGAGACTTAAATCACAAATCCTCCTCCCTGGAATCCTGGATCCTCTCCATCAGCCCTACAGTTCTTTAAGATTCTTTATAAATATTCTCTTGTAACATATTTGATTGTGTGACTGCTCTGTCCCACAGACCAGCACATGAGCTCGTATAACATAATACTGCTTGCAGAACATACAACATGAAAAAACATCAGAGCACCAGTTCTGCTAGGTTAGTGCTGACGGACTAGGTCAGCAAAGGAACCAAACAGTATTATGTTGTTCTCCTTATTTTATAGGTGGTTATGATCACTGTTCTAATCTAACTGTGGAAGTACTGTCAGGTTAAGGGATACTGGGAGAAGAAAGCTCACCATGGTGTGAAGAGGGGATCCCTGGAGATCATCTAGTCCAACCGCCCTGCTCAAGCAGGGTCAGCTAGAGCAGGTTGCCTAGGACCAATTTCCAAGGATAGAGACTACATCACCTCTCTGGGCAACCTATTCCACACCCAAGTGGTACCAGAGCAATTAGGCAGCTATACTAACTACCCTTAGCGGGGAAAGGGGAAACAAATATGAACACTTCTGTTAGTCCTATAGTTTCACATGAAACAAGGACAACTTTATTTTTTTTTTAAAACTGTTAACATCTTTTACTCGCTACTGACGAGACATAATTAAATGCAGTTTTTTGAGATTCTTCACAATTTATCTTACTAAAATTTTAACAATATAAGAACCTAGAGGGTTTACTGTTTGAACAAAAAAGGCATAACAAAAACTATGTCTTAGCACTCATCTAAAACATTTTGCATGCCTCTTTCAAAGGCTAAAGGAACGTAAGTTATACTGCATTCAGTCTATATAGGCATGGTTTCCATTATATTTCCATTATACCTGATTCAATGTAATAGCAGGTTCCCTTCATGAGAAGGTCCTGCTCCGCCTTTCAACACTGTTACTTCTCTCATGAGTTCTACTCTTCATACTGGCACAGGATGAGTTGGATCAGCCTCCTGATTCAAAGCAAGCTGACTCACAGAAGACTTTCCATCAGATTAGTGCATAGCTCCAACTTACCTCAACACCATATAATTGCAACCTTAGATCCAAACGGAAGGGACAGCAACAAACGGCAGGAAGTAGAGGGATGGGTAAGGGAACAAGATTACCACTTTCAAAGGTGATTAAACACTTCAGAGCTTAATAAATGAAGATATAATAAAATATATTTAAATATTTTGATGTGAAAAGCCATAATTTAGATCACATTTTTCGTTTGCTTTGTCTTGATTCCATTACCAGAGGAAAGAATTTTTAATATTCTCTTATGTAACTGCAATCGTCAGTACTCCTTTGCCACCTGATCCTTTCAAGGTACAGCTTTAAAAGCACCTGTGGTTTGTCCCAGATTTGATCTATCCGCTGTCTGAAAAGCTATACATTTCATGCCATCATCACACTATTTCCCACCTTTCTCCCTCTACTACTTCTTCACCTTACACGCATTTAAAATATTAATGCTCTATTACCCATCTTCAACTTCCAAAACAACATATACAAACAGCTGCCCACCACGGAATATGTGCGAGGGCAGCAGAACACAAGTGTCATACACGTTATCAACATCTCCTTACCTTCTGTGCTTTATCCTTCTGAAATACAAAGACAGGTGGAGCAATGGCAGGTTTTTCTGCAAAAAGAGAAATCGTTGTTTTTTCCAAGCGCATTAATTATTTATTAATATTAAAATGTTATGTTCTATGATGCTTTTACAAACAGTGAATCCCAAAACCAGTTAAGTCTGAGTTACACAAATTGGTTCCATCAGTTCCTGGTAAGCTACAATAATTATTGAGGACTTGATTTTCAAAAAGAAAGTGTTTTAAGAAAAGCAGTACAACTGATATCTGAAAACTGTTTCATATTCTTTCACCTGCAGACCTAACTATTTTAAGCCAATACTTTCATCATATTAAAAGCTTTCCAATCAGCCTGGGCACATGAGCAGGAAACGCCCTTTGCTGGGATATTTTATTTTTTTGAGCACATACAAGCTGTGCCGACAAAAGCTTTTCCTTTCCTACAGTGATGTATCAAAGAGTTTTGCTCAAACGCTCCCTTCTTAAAGGGGTCTTAATGACTTCCAATGATACCTGTATTTCAGATAATTCAGGAGCTTTTTAAAGTTTCAGTCTTCCACACATTTCCAAGTCTTTGATTTACATCAAGTATCCCTTGTATGCTATTACAGAGGCATCAGTCGTCTTCACATAATTGAAGAGTAAGTCTACTTACTGCTTGAAGCTCCGATTCAAACATTACGAGGAAGGGGACTTTTCTAAATAAGCACACAAACATTTAGTCTTGAAGTACAGAATGAATTTCTACAGTGAATGCATCTTTTCTGTTGTCCTTAATGACCTCAAAAAAAAGGGAACTAAGCAGAAATGAGCCCTTCTGAGCATTTAAGAAACTGAGGCATTGTGCGTGAGTTATATTTGAAGAAAAACCTGCACGTACAGTATGCTGTCAGTAACCTTCCTATACGCTTGTAGGGCAAAGGATGAGTTCAACGTTTAAGCCTGTTTTCAGAATGAGACTTGGGGAACAAGGGAACTCGCTGAGAGCTGGGGGTTTTTTTTTGGCTAATCTCCTTGTGAAAGTTCCACTGTTGCAATTATTCAATCACAAAAACAAAACTAGATGTTAAAGAAAAGGAATCAAAACTTTAAAGACTTTCTAGAACTTGAAAGACTACTATAAAGAGAAATATAAAGCCAACTGGGAAGAACTACCTTGCTTGTAAAAAAAAAAAAAAAAAAAAAAAAAAAAGGATAGGATCACAAAATCCTTCTTAAATCAGTTGCAGTGTGATCTTGCCAAAGAAAATGTGATGCCCTAACTGTATAACATGGGCACTTTTCTGACACAAAGTTGCTTCAATATTTTAATTAAAAGTTTACTCTTGGCGGAAAACCAGCTATAAATATCAAATTATACCTTCTCTTTTTACAGAATGACTTCACAAACAAAAGGATCCTCCCTGACCACCTTACCCTGATCAGCCAGTGGAATCACAGTGTCATGAAACAACAACAATAAAAAAGGTAAATGGAAACAGAGAAAAACTCTATTAACATGCATTTCAAATGTTATAAACTAAGTGTGCTGCTTCACGCTACAGCTAAAACAATCTAACGGCTAGCTGCCACCAAAGAAGGTAGCTCAACTGGAGCTGTCCAACGCACTCCCACCTCTTTCCTTTTACACAAGCGCTACCACACAAAGTGAACTAGCGACAAACAACCCCCCCCCACACACACACACACATTTGTGAGTTAGTTCATTTCAGCTCTCTGAACCGGCAGACTGCGAGGTCACTAAAGCAGCTCGGTCAGCACAAGAGTACACACCATGAAAGGAAAAGGGGATGAGACTGCTAGCTATTAGATTGCTTTAGCAGAAAGACGACAAAAAGCACTGCACCTGACAATGACAAAAGAAACATCCTAAGAATTGCGTGTGTTTGTGAGGGTGGAAAAGCCTTTTCTCACCCTTTTGCAGGTCTCACCCAGACCAATAACCCAGCAAAAATACCACGAGACTGGCATAACTTGTTCAACAGAAGTTAAAAATACACTTGAAATATAGATCCTTATTACACAATCTGTCCTGCTCTTTTTTCCTCTATTTTCCAAATTCTTCTCTGACAGTGCTCGGCATCAAATACCACTGAAGCTCAAAAATGATGTTTAATTGAAATAGAGGGCTATGCAATCTATTTCAAAACAACAAAAAAAAAAAAGTACAGTCACTGTGAAAAATGTAACAGCTATTTTTTGTTAAAGAAAGAGTTTGTTGAAATGTAACAAGATCTTCAGGTTACTTTAAAAGATAGTCCAAAGGCCCAGCACTCCAACATTTAAATCACTATAGGTCATGGGATCCCTTGCTATTCCCTTGGCTTCAGTATAACCTGCTTGTGGGAGGCTACCCAGGTTTCAAATTCAAACTTTTTCTTCAAAGAGATTTTCATTTCTTTTTACTGTGCTTGGTATAGTCGAATATTCGCTAGTGCTATAACTACAGTAACAACTAGTAAGCTTTGACCAAACTACTTTTAACTAAGACTGCCATCCCAGGCAATAAAATGCTGTATTATTGTTCTTCTCTTTCAGAGATTTGCCAGAAATCAGGACTAAACCTCGCAAGGCACAGCATTCCTATAACAAGTTCCAAAGATACCAGAGGGATCTAACAGGGAAGAACTACTCATCTATTTAGTATTTAATACAGAATCAAAGCCCTGAGGGGAAAAAAAGGCAATGAATATAAAAAACAGATCCAGCAGCAACAAAAACTGGGGGCAGGGGATAGACGTGGCCTGGCTGGCAAAAAAAAAAAAAAACAGAATGGGGATCCAAAGGAGCAGACGCAAAGGAACCAGACAAAATGAGAAATGGAGTCTGGTGATGGAAAACTGAGTACCTGGGGCAGGGGTAAGGGGAAAGAGAGAGAACACAGATGCCAGGAACAGCAGAAAGCTCACGGAAGGAAATGTTTGATGAGATGAGGAACAAAAAAAAAAAAAAAAAAACCAACCAACCAACCAACCCACCCACCCCAAAAATAAAGAATGAAAATCTTAGGTATTGGAGATTATGGCCAGCTCAGAGAAACAAGACTGGGAGAAGAAGCGAAAACAAACTGTGATGAGACACAGAGGAGGTGGAAGAAACACTCGTGCAGGATAGGAAAGTTTCCATCCACTGAGAGAACACCCTCCTCCAAGCTCCAGCACTTGAGATTTAGGAATCTCATTATTCCTCTTGCTGCTTATCAATCAACCAATTGATAAGATGCCATCCAGCAGTAACAATAAGGAGACAGCAAACAATCAGTATATCCCTTTGCCTAATATGGCATTTTTAACAGATCCAAAATTTACAGTAGTGCTGAGGATGTGTGCACATACTACTGTAACATTACAGAATGGATATTTTGTCTAAGAAAGATACTTTCAGAAAATTACTGCCACTAATGAAACGTCAGTTTTTCAGAAGCTGACTTTGCACACCTAGCAAGAGGTTGCACAATGCTGTCCACACAATCTTAATTCAGTTTCTGGTACATATATATAAAGCCTTTAAGTATATGATCACATTTCTCTCCAGACCCTTACCTCCTTCAGGAAGCACAGGAGGGATTTGTTCGCTATATGGAAAAAAAATAAGTAGCTTTGGAAGTTCTACAAAGGACATTCTTCTACTTGTTCATCACGTGCCTTCTAAAGTCTCTAAGAAGGCCACAATGCCAGAAGAGAAGGCCACAATGCCAGAAGAGAAGGCCACAATGCCAGAAGAGAAGGCCACAATGCCAGAAGAGAAGGCCACAATGCCAGAAGAGAAGGCCACAATGCCAGAAGAGAAGCATCTGCCTCATTCTAACTTAAGGCAAGAAAGGATCACTACATCATCTAATTTGACCCCCTATTATTTCACAAACCATTGCACATTTTTCTGAGCCTAATTGTTTTGGAGAGTCATTTTCAGAAAATACTCTAGTACTTAATGTTTTCTCTGTGAAGGTAGTTGTACATTGTACCCATCACCACCCATACTTCTTTTCAGTAAACAGGGCAAATAAAACCAATTCTCAGTAGGAGGGTCTGTCCTCAATCCTTCTGTCTTGCTGAAGATGTCTATTTTTTTTTTTTAAACATAAATAACAGATACCAAACTTCACCCAGTATTTCACTACCAATTTCACAAAAAAGTATACTGCAAGAATCCTCCGATTCTGACATACTAGATTCAAGAATCACCTTATTCCTCCTTCTTCCTCCCCATCAAGATCACTTTGCTTAGTTTGTCAGTATCCAAAATATTTTTCCAGTCAAACTTTCAAATCAACTTAAGAACCAGCACAAGAGACAGGAGATTTTATTTTTGTAGAACAGAAAAGTACATGCTAGGCCATAATAAGCTACCACAGTCACCATGTGAGAAATGAAATGCTACTCCAAAATGAGAATTACACTGTCCTTTGTACTAATAGACATCATAGGTGGATGGTCAAGTTCTCACTTAGCAAGCAAGCACCCACTCCACCAAGGTGTACTGAAAGTAAAACGGATCTGTCGGCTCCAGAGAACTGTCATGAAATTAAAGGGAAAAAACAATAATAGAATAAAGGAAGACTAAAAAAGGCTCCCAAACTTAACCTACAATACACAGTAAGAGAACACAAGATCTTCTCCTTCACCTAAGGTAAGAAGAAATACAGAATGTAAGTTCCTAAAAATCATGGAACAGGCTTATTTCTTCTTCAGACAAGCAGACAGAAACACGGCAACACAGGGAGGTGAAGATGCAGAAATGATGTCAATTTTCAATTGCAGTAAAGGTTCTTCTGCCACCATTCAGAAGATACTATCAAACTAGCCTGAAGAATGGTTGAATCCCCATAACTCCTTCCTGCAGTTTATTTATAAGCTTCAAAGACTTTAAACTACATGAATAATTACAAAAGCCTCAAGTGCTGGTTTTCACAGACTTGAGATATTTCATAGCTGAGACATTATCAATATACGTGCTGCCATAAAAATACATCTACTATTACACCCTCTCAGCTTGCTTCACAAGCCTTAGAAATCAGAACACAAAACAGAAGCTACTAGCTCAACCGTTCAGGCAGAGCTACAGCATTTTCAAGTTATACATACTCT